TTAGGATAGTTTGAATATATTTATTACTGCGCGTTCTTGTATGAGCATGGCTTTTGTTGTTGCAGAGAGGGTATGTTTAACTAGGGGTGGGGCGAGTCCGGCGAGGACTGGTGTTTGGCGGCTGCGGGGCGATGGATGATGCGGTTTTGCATCGGCGAGCCCGAAGCAGTTCTGATTTCGCTGACGACATCAACTTTTCTGTAGGTCACTTAAATATCCGATCATTGAATACAGGGTTTGATGATTTTTCTTCTTATACTTCAGAATTTTCTTTCGACCTACTATGTCTTACCGAAACATGGTTAAATACTGAAGATCAGAGTTATAATTATACCCTGCCAGGGTATAGACTAATAAGGCGGGACAGAGCTGGTCGGGGGGGGGGGATGGGGTAGCTATATACTTTAAAAAAAATATTAAACCATCAAAATTAAATTTGGATATCCCTCTCCTAGATGAAAATTTTGAATTCGTTGGTATTCATTTTCGAATTAATAATAAAACTTGGATATTAATTAATATTCACCGACCTCCTTCCGGTAACATTGCTGCTTTTTTGGATACATTTGAGGACATGCTCGGTGTAGTTGCTGTTGGTTATGACTGTCTGATCGTCACAGGAGATTTTAACATTGATTATCTGAGTAAATCTAATCACACCAGGCGTTTTAAAAATATATTCCAGTCATTCAATCTCTCTCAAAAAATATCTGAGCCAACTAGATATGATATGTTGACATCATACTCTACTTTGATTGATATGATTATTGTAAGTGAAAATTTGCTAACAGTTAAATCAGGAACCATACCAATAGACGAGAATATAACAGACCATAATTTAGTTTATTCGGTCTTTAACATTCCAAAAATAAACAGTTCTCCAAAATACGTTACTTATCGCGATTATAATAATATCCGTGAACAGTCATTTCTCTATGATGGTATGCAGCTTCCGTGGAATATTATTTACAATTGTACCAATGTAGATGAAAAGGTGAAATTATTTAATAAATATATTTTAACAATCATTGATAAACATGCTCCTCTAAAAACAAGAAAAATTAAGATAGAAATGCCGTTTCTTCCCTGGATAACCGAAAACATAAAGCTTTTGATAAAAATTAGAGATAAAGCACATAAAAAATACTTAAGATGCAAAAGAGATCAGCACCTTAGATATTATAGACAGCTAAGAAATTTCACTAAGCATGCTATTATCCGAGAAAAAGTTACCTACTTTAATCAACTAGCAAGAAAAAAACAAGACGATTTTTGGAAAGCCGCGCGAAGGCTTAATCTGACCAACCAGAGGACTCTTACTGAACTTCCAGATAATCTCTTAAATCCATCTGAGATACATGATTTTTTTCAGATGACTGATAACATGCGAGACACTGCATCATTAAACTTGATCAGTTTTTATGAAAATAATCAAGCTGTAAATAATAATTTGGAATTTCATTTGATAGATCGGAGCAGACTAATAAAAATTGTTAATTCCATTTCATCAGGTGCGATTGGAGAGGATGGCATATCCATCAAAGACATAAAATTGTGTCTTCCTTTCTGCGCAAATGCATCGATTAATATTATTAACACATGCCTTTTGGAAAATACTTACCCTTCTGTTTGGAAAAATGCTATTGTGAAACCCATATCAAAGGTTGGCGAGCCTAAAGAACTTAAAGACCTTAGACCAATTAGTATTTTGTCCTCTGTGTCAAAAGTTATAGAAAAGCACATTTTTGTTCAGATGTCGGAATTTTCTGAATCACAAAATAACATTCCTCAATATCAATCGGGATTCAGGAAGAATTTTAGTACAACTACAAGCTTGGTAAATATTTTAAACGATGTCCGAATGCATGAGGACCAGAAAAACGCTACTTGCATGATTTTGTTAGATTTTAGCAAAGCTTTTGATACTCTAAATCACAGAATGCTGCTGGCAAAGCTAAGCTATTTTGGATTCTCACCTAATGCCATAAGTTTTTTAAAAAGTTATCTGAGTACTCGATCAAGCTGCGTTACGATTTCTCAAGGATCCGTTTGCCTCAAATTTGAATTTAAACCTGTAAAGCAAGGTGTCCCTCAAGGGTCAATCCTTTCGCCCTTGCTGTTTAGTATTTATGTGGCAGATATGTCTGAAGCTGTTACTTATGCAAGGCTTCATCAGTACGCCGATGACTCACAACTTTGTATTGCTATTAATAACGACAATTTAGACACAACCGAAAATTACATTAATTCAGACCTGCTAGAGGTAAACAGTTTTGCCATACGCCACAATTTAAAACTCAATGCTTCTAAATCAAAAGCTTTAATTTTGGGATCTAATTTCAAACTTAGGAGAAATATTGAGCGTAGTTTGAATATCCGTATAAACAATGAGATAGTCCCCATTGTTCACAAAGCAAAGAATTTAGGCGTAATCTTCGATAATGCATTATCATTTGAACCACACATAAAGAAAAAATTGACGGCAGCGTACATACGATTAAGAAATATCTCCAAACTAAAAAAATGTTTACTGCCTAAGCAAAAGTATTTCCTTTGTCAGAATCTCATACTGTCGCTTTTTGACTATGGAGATGTAGTTTATGGGAGCTCGTTGGCGTATACTACTAAAAATGCGATACAAAAATTGCAGAACGCCTGCATGCGATTTTCATTCAACATACCTTATCGTAACCACATAACACCTTACCTAAACAATTTGTCTACAGGGTTATCCAAATTAAGTGTCCACCATTAGTAACTTTGTTATTAGTGAAAATACAAAGTTGTTTGAATTAGCAAACTAGTAGCATTTTTAACGCTGGTAAAAATGAGAAATAAAAAAAACAATTGAGAGTCGTTATTTTGATTTTTTTCAGTAAAATAACATTTTTTTAAATGGAAACCCCTGTATATTATATTTTTTTCTGTTAAAGCATCAAATTTTAAACAAAAAAGCTTACAATAACTTTTCTCCTAGGTTACAAATTGTTGAAGTTATGGCCTCCAATCTGAAACAATTAAATTGTATCGACAAACTTTATTTTCAACATCAACTTATAATCTTACAAAATACAATAACAATTTTTTTTAAAGAAGATGCTCGAAAACACCACCTTGTTCTTCAATACATTTTTGGGCACGTTTTTCAACTGCTCGAACTGTCTTAAGTATGGTCCTACCATCTATCTGGGTTATCTTTTCCCTAACTGCAGTCTTCAACGCGTCAAGGTTATCGTACCTTCGCTAGTAAATTTGGTTCTTTAAGGAACCCCACAAGAAGTAATCAAGTGGGTTTAGATCTGGTGATCTGGGAGGCCACTGTATTGGGCTATTTGTTCCTATCCACTGATCATTAAAAGTAGTACTTAGAAAATGATAAGTACCTCTGGAGTTGTGGGCAGGTGCGCCATCTTGCTGAAAATGCAGATGATGTCTACTTATAAGATCCAATTCGTCTAAGAAATTAGTCAGAATTTCTGACATAAATTCCACATATCTTTCACCAGTTAGGGTTCCCTCATAAAAGAACGGGCCAACAATTTTTGAACCAATTATACCGCACCAAACGTTGAAACTGAAACGGACTTGTGGGCCTCTTGGATGTACTAACAAAAGATTTTCTCTTGACCAATAATGGTGGTTTTTTCTATTAAACATTCCAGAATTTGAAAAATTTGATTCTTCTGTCCATAAAAGGTAACGAAAGTTATTTACATTTTGGCGACAGAAGCTAAGATACCAATGGCAAAAAACAAGTCTTCTCTCTGGATCCCCTGCCAAAAGCGTTTGAACTGGTCGGTACTTATACGGAATAAATTTGTATTTTTTTAAAATCCTTTGAACATTACCATAACTGAAATTAGAGTCCTTGAGAATATCTGCTATTGAATTCTCACGATAAGCTTCAAAATATCCAATAACTGCAATTTCCGTGGCCTCACTTATTATGAATTCTTTTTTTGCCCTTGTTTTAGCAAAAACATTTTCGTTGCCCCTAAATTTTCGATAAAGTCTCAGAAAATATCGTTCATACGGTTGAATGCGAGCGGGATATAATTCACTGTAGTATTCTCTTGCTCTCAAGGAGGATTTTCTGCACACTAAATAGCATTCTAACATATCACACTTTTCTCCATGGGAGAACATTTTTCTTTAAATTAATGACACAATAAAGCTTATAAACAAGTATTTACACTAATGTTTGATATTATTTGATTTTATCATTGTTTTCCAAAGCCTTCTAGTTGCGAGTATGTCCAGTTTAACAATTTGTCGCTTATCTTAATGCTGTCAAATCGCGAACGCCATGTTGTTTTCATAGCCGTCTTAATATTATAATACTGCAAATAATTAAAAATATTTATCGTTATTTTGACTTTATTTTTGACTTTAGCGGAAAAGTCATTATGAACTTTTTTGTTTAAAATTTGATGCTTTAACAGAAAAAAATATAATATACAGGGGTTTCCATTTAAAAAAATGTTATTTTACTGAAAAAAATCAAAATAACGACTCTCAATTGTTTTTTTTTTATTTCTCATTTTTACCAGCGTTAAAAATGCTACTAGTTTGCTAATTTAAACAACTTTGTATTTTTACTAATAACAAAGTTACCAATGGTGGACACTTAATTTCGGATAACCCTGTATACTAAATGAGGAGCAGACTTTCAAAAAGCATTAAGTGCAGTTTTTACGAAATTGGCCAAAAGATGGCGATCAAATGTATAGGTTCATCTCCATTTGTCAACCGCTCCTTGGACATCCAAAACGATGTTAAACGATAAAAATAACGCCCGTTAATACGTCTAGACTTTCAAAGAGCGTTATTTCTTTCTGCGTTGGACAAACAAATAGACTTTGATAAGCTAGTTAGTGCGTGAACGCTTTTTGTTTGTCCAGTATATTTTGGATGAGCAGCAAGTAAACCCTTTTGTTTGGACACGTGTCTCAAGATTGTAATCCTGTCGTAACTTGCTTCAGTTAGCATAGTGATATCGAGTGGGTTAGATCGGTCGGACCACTATTATGGATGAAGAGCATATTGTTGGTGATCAAGACAAAGGCAGTAGAAAACGAAAATGGGGTGCAACATCACGGCAGCGGCAGAAAGAAATACGGTAGATATAGTAAATTATGTTATTTGGGGAATTTTCTCATAGTTTACGGTTTTATTTCTATATACGATGACCCTGATCCCAACCTTGATGGTTTCGAAGTCTCCTGTAAGCATGGCAGAAATAAAAAACTTAAGGTTAAGCAAGATACGAAACTGTCCCATTTAATTGAAATTGGAACTCCTAGGAGAAAGAAACGTTCAGACCAAAGCTTTACTAGAAACCGCAACATTACTATGCATTACAATGTGTGGAGGTCCAACAGCAAGAAAAGAATTTGTCAGAAAATGTTTTTAAAAATTTTTGGTATTAGTCAGAAACGCATACAAAATATTTCTAGGCAAATGAAAGCTGGATCGGGTATTTCTGAAAATCGTGGTGGTGACAGATGTTCGCAGAAAAATGTGGAAAAGCGCAAAAAGGTGAAAGCATTCATCGCAAATTTAAAGGGGCAAGAGAGTCACTACGGAAGAGCGAAATCTAAAAGGATATATTTATCTCCATATCACCATACTACATAGGCTATACAATGATAGCGTTGAAGAAAGCTATAAAGTAAATTACAAGTACTTTAGTCGCATTTTCTCGAATGACTTTAACTTAGGATTCGGTACACCGGTGACCGATGTTTGTGGTTCTGTACGCGGCACCTAAATCTGCTCTCAATGGTGAACGGCCAATGCGAAAAGCAGTTATTACAAAATTAAGAGTACATAAGTTACGAGCAAAGCAGTTTTTTAAAATGATGAAGGAAAAATCTGAAGACGGCATGGCATTCTGCTTCGATCTTCAGCAGGTACAACCTCTCCCTAAAGTACCGATTTCAGAGGCATTCTATGCACAGCAACTCTCCTTGTATGTTTTCTGTATCACAGACATACCTTGCAAGCGACCAATTTTCTACTCATGGTTAGAACACCAAGCAGGAAGGGGTACCACAGAAGTTGGTTCTGCTCTTTACGATTTTATCAGAAAGGCTGAATTTCCAAAAAACTTGAAAGAATTGACGTTGTTCTCTGATGGACATGGAGGCCAAAACAAGAACAGTCACATAGTTCACATGCTAATGATGTGGCTACATAAAGAAGCACCAAAAGGCCTGCAATCTATAAGAATGGTTTTTCCAATAATAGGTCATTCATACCTGCCAGCGGATCGCATTTTTGGACGATGTGAGAAGCTTATTAGGTCCCAGCACACTAAAGTCACCAGAAAAATACTGGGAGTTGTATTCTCAAGTCGGATTGGTTCGAAAGCTTGGGACTGTCTGGAAAATATATGACCTGAAATCCGCTTTGTCCACTTTTAAGAAAATCGAATCAACCAGTCATGCTAAGCGAATCTTAATAAAACGGACTTCAAAACAACATGTAGCGGTGAAAACAGAAACCTTTTACAGAAATGACGATGCCAACGCCAAGTACTTGACGATGTTAAAAAAGATTGAAAACTTGAGTTTTCCAAGGTTGGCTTTGAAGCATGAAATAAAAAGGACAAAGTTGAAAAGTCTGCATAACCTTTTGGTGCAGCTATCCACAGAAAGATTGCCTGAGGATGAGGAATTGCAATGTCTTCGTCCTATTTTTCCAGAGCCCCTTGAAGAGCTACAAGAGAATAGTGATGAAGATAATGCCCAAGAAGTATGTAACTGCATCGAGGATGATGGTGGAGTGAAAGTTTGAATATTTTTCTCTAAGAATATTTTTTATAGGATTGTATTCATCGGTAAATGGAATAAAGGTATTTTGACTTAAGTTACCGTTTCCCAAACAGAAGGACTTATTTCACCTTCGGACAAACAAAGTGCATCAAATAGAATCTACTTTTGGTCAAAAAATGGAATTTCTTTGTTTTCCAGGTAATCCTCCTTCATCATCAAAGCCTATCTATTTTCGTGGTATTTGATTCACCAAAATCAAGCATTTGCAGCTACGCATGTTGGCACAACAGTTTTTTCCACTTTCCTCAATTTATGCGGGTCATAGCATAACGCTTTTTGAAAGTCTGCTCTTCAAATATGCTAAATCGCAGGAAACATCATTTATTTAATTTCATCTATAGAGTAATAAAATCGGGAAAACCTCCGTATTTGAAAAATGAGCTTTTAACTTTTAATCATTATTACGGGACAAGACATAACCAGAATTTTTTATTACTCCTCGACATAGGTCTGCAGCATTTCAACGTTCTTTTTCATTTCTTGCAGTTAAAATGTGGAACAGTCTAAATAATGATGCAAAGGTAATGTCACAAAGAGTGTTCTCAAAGTATATAATGGCCATGCTTCTTCAGGAACAATAATACAATAATGAGTGTGATTGTGCACGGATACTTGTTGTCAAGTTTATTTTTTCAAATTTATCTTTTTATTAAGATGGAGAAGCGAACATGTGATGATAGATGTTGTATGTGTATGTAGATGTATTTCGGTGTTGTTAACTGTATGAGGGTTCGTCGGTGTGGCTTCGCGTCCGTTGCATTCTGCCGCTCTTCGCCCCCTCACCGGTGCTCCCCACCCGTCGGAACGTTGACTTTTTAAGTGAGTAAATACATTTTTTTTCTGTAATATCAATGGTTCATGCTCGTAATAAATAAAATCATTAAATTCCAGCATATTGTTTGTATATTATGTGTAAAATTAGTGTAACACAGGGCATTTTCACACCCACCCTACTTATGTAAGGCTGGGTTTTAACGGTCATTTGATCGAGGATTTGTCCTTTTTGCCAAAAATATTGTGTGTATTTTCTATAATACAATAAATATAATGTTTTTTTGTTTTTGTTTTTTGGCAAATAAATGTATTTTCAATTTTTTTTTTTAATTTTTGGTAAGATGCTTGACATTCCTTTGGATCACTCTTTGGGAATTGTTTTTGTCATTGCTAAGTAGACTTCTTTTCTAGCGTCCCTCGTATTTGCCGGAAAATAGAATCAGCGCCTCTATAGCCCAGCATTCGTGCTTTATCGAATTTTGTTCAGCCAATCTAACGGTCTCAGGTTAAAAGCGAAAAAAACAATTTCACTGAGTGCCCAAATTTTCTCAAATGCATAATACAAAAGATGACTAAAATTGAGGAAGACGTCGCTGCTGAATAATTAAAAAATAGTAACTAAGCAACATCGCTCGCTCCCGAGTTTTGCTTGGTTCGTAATAATTTAGTCTGACTCAATTACTTTGTCGTCCAACTTGCGACCCGCTGCTCCGCTTCAGTTTCTGTACTTTCTCATACAAACTACCTGCGTTTAATTTTAGTTCCCGCTATAAGCGCGCCCCCTTTATTGCCAGAAATGTTCCTAGTTTAATAAATTCCGGATACAAAGGAGTAAAGGCTACCGGCAGAGAATTTTGAATTCCGAAAACGTTTCAACCGTCTGACGTTAAGCCCGATAACTGTGTAATATTCAGCTGCCCTATTCGAATTGGAGGTCAGGACTTTAATGATATTTTTATAAGTATCGGATGAATCTCTGGTGCCAAAAAGCAATCGGACCGGAAATAGAAACTAAGTAATTTAACCTTTAGAAATTGTACATTCAGGGTGATTCACAAGTCGTGACCAAAAATGCAGTATCATACACAGGACCGTTTTTTAAGGGGGATGTTCTATATATTTTTTTTACTCGAGAGCACCATTACAAAGATACGGGGTGCTGAAGTTTAAAAATAAAAAACAATTTTTTTTAATATCTTCACAACCGTCAACTGGAATCAACTAAAGTTTGGTATGTGTATTTACCTAAGTACTGTCTATATTCAAAAGTCTTTAAATCAACGAGCACCAGTGGCGAAGATACAGGGGATTAGTGGCATTATTTTTCCAAATAAAAATAGCACGCACACGTTTTTTTTTAAACACGAAGTTACCTTCAATTTGTTACAAATAACTACTCTTGTGTTTTGTTTCCTCGAGTGCACTGTTTTCGTAAAAATGACAGTAAAACAAATTAGATAATCAAAGCTTTATTTCAATAAATGTTCAAAAAGACCACCTTTCTGACGGATACAAGTCCGGTATCTTTTTAATAAAGAAAAACGTATTTGCGCAAAATTTGTTGTGGCTCGAATTTTTAGTGACTTGTGAATCACCCTGTATAAAGCTCCTAAGTGGTTTTCTAATATTCACATGCCTTTTTGGACTGTTTAGTTCCATTTCAGGTAAATGAAGATGACACCAAATGACAACAGATTTCTCGAATAATCCGCTTTCGCGAATATCATACATACTAGTCTTTTCATAACTAACGATCTCATGTGCATTTTGAAATCAGAACAATAGTTTTGCATGAGCTAAGAATTCTCTGATGTGCTACAATAGTTGATTTATGAAAAGTTTATCAAGAAATTTTGCACGCGAAAAACCGGAAGGAAAAATGCAATACAGCATTTCCCATTATATTTATTTCGAGAGAATATCAGCACTTTGGTACTAAAACGTATATTCTGAGTGCATTTACTTTTTTCTGTGAACGAGAAACGACAACACCTACAGTCCAAAGTTCAAACATAAAATTTCGCGACAAAACTGTGACGTAATAAGTTCAGACGTGACTTTTATTCCTTGATGTTGACAGTTTTACATAAACTCTATGGCCACGTTCTATCGATAACCAAAATAAAAATTAAAATGGCGCCAAGCACTTCCCACGCAACACTCCACCAGCTGATACACAGCAACAAAAATTCGGCACAACTCTGAGAAACATATTTAATGGATCAAACAAGGATTAGACCATAGTCTCCACCCATCTGCCCACGCTGCGATTTGGGAATTCTTCTGCACTACAGACAGTACCGACCATCTGGCAACGTTGTTAAGACTAACCTCACAACTCACTTCAAACATAAAATTTCGCGACAAAACTGTGACGTAATAAGTTCAGACGTGACTTTTATTCCTTGACGTTGACAGTTTAACATAAAATGTATGGCCACGTTCTATCGGTAACCAAAATAAAAATAAAAATGGCGCCAAGCACTTCCCACCCAACACTCCACCAGCTGATAAACAACAACAAAAGTTCAGCACAACTCTGAGAAACAAATTTAATGGATCAAACAAGGATTAGACCATAGTCTCCACCCATCTGCCAACGCTGCGATTTGAGAATTCTTCTGCACTATATGCAGTACCGACCATCTGTCAACGTTGTTAAGACTAACCTTACAACTCACTTCAAACATAAAATTTCGTAACAAAACTGTGACGTAATAAGTTCAGACGCGACTTTTATTTATTGATGTTGACAGTTTTACATAAACTGTATGGCCACGTTCTATCTATAACCAAAATAAAAATTAAAATGGCGCCAAGCACTTCCCACCCAACACTCCACCTGCTGATACACAGCAACAAAAATTCGGCACAACTCTGAGAAACAAATTCAATGGATCAAACAAGGATTAGACCATAGTCTCCACCCATCTGCCAACGGTGCGGTTTGGGAATTCTTCTGCACTACAGACAGTACCGACCATCTGGTAACGTTGTTAAGACTAACCTCACAACTCACTTCAAACATAAAATTTCGCGACAAAACTGTGACGTAATAAGTTCAGACGTGACTTTTATTTATTGATGTTGACAGTTTTACATAAACTGTATGGCCACGTTCTATCTATAACCAAAATAAAAATTAAAATGGCGCCAAGCACTTCCCACCCAACACTCCACCTGCTGATACACAGCAACAAAAATTCGGCACAACTCTGAGAAACAAATTTAATGGATCAAACAAGGATTAGACCATAGTCTCCACCCATCTGCCAACGTTGCGATTTGGGAATTCTTCTGCACTATAGACAGTACCGACCATCTGGCAACGTTGTTAAGACTAACCTCACAACTCACTTCAAACATAAAATTTCGCGACAAAACTGTGACGTAATAAGTTCAGACGTGGCTTTTATTCCTTCACGTTGACAGTTTAACATAAACTGTATGGCCACGTTCTATCGATAACCAAAATAAAAATTAAAATGGCGCCAAGCACTTCCCACCCAACACTCCACCAGCTGATGCACAGCAACAAAAATTCGGCACAACTCTGAGAAACAAATTTAATGGATCAAACAAGGATTAGACCATAGTCTCCACCCATCTGCCAACGCTGCGATTTGGGAACTCTTCTGCACTACAGACAGTACCGAGCATCTGGCAATGTTGTTAAGACTAACCTCACAATTCACTTCAAACATAAAATTTCGCGAAAAAACTGTGACGTGATAAGTTCAGACGTGACTTTTATTCCTTGATATTGACAGTTTAAAATAAAATGTATCGCCACGTCCTATCGGTAACCAAAATAAAAATAAAAATGGCGCCAAGCACTTCCCACCCAAAACTCCACCAGCTGATACACAGCAACATATGTTCGACAGAACTCTGAGAAACGAATTTAATGGATCAAACAAGGATTAGACCATAGTCTCCACCCATCTGCCAACGCTGCGATTTGGGAATTCTTCTGCACTACAGACAGTACCGAGCATCTGGCAACGTTGTTAAGACTAACCTCACAACTCACTTCAAACATAAAATTTCGCGACAAAACTGTGACGTAATAAGATCAGACGTGACTATTATTTCTTGATGTTGACAGATTTACATAAAATGTATGGCCACGTTCTATCGGTAACCAAAATAAAAATAAAAATGGCGCCAAGCACTTCCCACCCAACACTCCACCAGCTGGTAAACAACAACAAAAGTTCGCCACAACTCTGAGAAACACATTTAATGGATCAAACAAGGATTAGACCATAATCTTCACCCATCTGCAAACGCTGCAATTTGGGAATTCTTCTGCACTACAGACAGTACCGACCATCTGGCAACGTTGTTAAGACTAACCTCACAACTCACTTCAAACATAAAATTTCACGACAAAACTGTGACGTAATAAGTTCAGACGTGACTTTTATTCCTTGACGTTGACAGTTTAACGTAAAATGTATGGCCACGTTCTAACGGTAACCAAAATAAAAATAAAAATGGCGCCAAGCACTTCCCACCCAACACTCCACCAGCTGATACACAACAACAAAAGTTCGGCACAACTCTGAGAAACAAATTTAATGGATCAAACAAGGATTAGACCATAGTCTCCACCCATCTGCCAACGCTGCGATTTGAGAATTCTTCTGCACTATATGCAGTACCGACCATTTGGCAACGTTGTTAAGACTAACCTCACAAAATAGTCTACGAACAGCCACAAAGGTCAAGTGTGCCGTTATATGTTCCCTCAGCTTGAATGCGGGACATTATTAGGCATCTATAAGAGTATGTAAAAGGGTCACGTGATCCAAATCGTGGTCGACATGTAACGGCACACGTAACCTCAGTAACTGCAACGATTTGATAAAACCACAATGCTTTTTTGTTCTTGGGTTACAAGTCACCTTGTCTGAAAATTTCATCTAAATCCTATCAGTACTTTCCAAGTTATTGGCGGTCCAAGAATTCGACAGAAACGGAAACAAGTGACATGATTTTTCTAAATCTTGTGCGCTTACA